CTGAGACCAGAAGAACTAGATGGTGCCCGGCTACCACCAATGACTGCCCTGACAGGGAACACAACAGAGAGTCCCTGATGGAGCAGGAGAAGGATGGGATGCAGAACTCAAATTCTAGTAAGAAGACCAGACTTAACGGTCTGACTGAGACTGGAGGCGCCCTGGAAAGCATGGCCCCTGGTCTCTCTATCAGCCTAGAATTAAGACAATTTCCGAGGCCAACTCTTCAGACAGTGATTGGACTGGACTGTGGGACATAAAGTGATACTCGTGAGGAGTGTGCCTCTTAGCTTAAGTAGATAGAAGAGACTAAACGGGCAGCTTCTGTCCAGAGGTGAGATGGGAAGGCAGAGAGGGTTAGGAGCTGGATGAATGGACATGGGGAATCAGGGGTGGAAAGGAGGAGTCTGCTGTTACAGTATGGGGAGAGCAATTAGGGTCACATAACAATGTATGTATAAATTTTTGCATGGGAGACTAACTTGAAATGTAAACTTCAGTTAAACTATAACAATAAACAAAAAAACAGATTTAAACACCATAATCAAAATATTAACAAAGTAAACTTGGCAATACATAAAAAAGACAAAACTTCTTGACCAAAATAGAGTCTTCAAGGAGTACGAGGTGGTTAAACATTAGAAAATCAACATAATTCACAACATTTAGAAAATAAAAGAGAGAAATTATAAAATCAACATATGCATAAAAAATTTCATAAAATTATATGACCTCTCATGATTCAAAAACAAGCAAATAAGCAAAAAAAGAATAAAACATCTTGGCTAACTAGGAATAGAAGGAAAGTCCATTTATACCTGGCCTTACTAATAAACTAGGATAAGGGTCACCTTGGACACTTAACAAAATAGGGATTCTGTTAGAAAAATAGAAAGTGTAAATTGATGTCGGAGAGGTAAGGAACAATGTTAGCAACAACCTATTCATAGATAGAGCAGGGCTTGGCAAACTTTTTCTGTAAGAGACTAGATAGTAAATACTTTAGGTTTGTGGGCTACATAGTTATATGGCAACTACTCAATTCTGCCTTAGAAGTTAAATAAATAAATGGGCAAGGCCAGATTCCATTAAAACTTTATCAACATCATCAAGTACTGGGCTGGATTTAGTCTGTGGGCTGTAGTTTGTTAATTTCTGGATTAAAAGAGAAAAGCCACATGATTTTCTAAACCAAAAGTTGGTAAGTAATGCCAAGAGCCTGGACCACCTGTTTTTGTATATATAATTTTCCTAGAATAAAGCCAGGCCTGTTAATTTATATATTGTCTCCAGTTGCTTTTGTGCTCAATGTCAGAACTGAGACGTCATGATCGAGACCCTAGGGCCTGCTAGCCTACAATATTTAATATGTGGCCCTTCACAGAAGTTTGCCAACATCTGATCTAGATAAATGCTGAAAAATAAATGCTTTTTCATAAAATCATTTTTTCATAAACAAATTTTAATAAAATCTGGCATTTGTTTCTATTATAAAACCCTCATGGTTACGAACAGGTGATTTTTTTTCCTTAACATTAAAAAAAGAAAACAAAACACTATATTTAAAAACATACATGTAAACTACCACTTTAAGTAGAACTCGATCTAGACGCCGCAGTCATTGACAAACCCTACTCACCCGCCCCTCTCAGTTTTCAATCATTGAGCCCTAAAGGCAGAGTGACCCGCAAAGACCCCAAACCCTGGCCACGGGACTCTCAGTTGTTCATCTCGACTTTTAATCACTAGAGCCCCCTTGACTGAACCAAAAGACACCCCCATCACAGACAACCACTTACAGACTTCTGCGTGCTCCTTTCAACACACAACACACACTTTCGCCCTCCCCCACACTTGTTCCACAGACAAACCCATATACCGACCTGATTCTCTTCTGAACCCTCAGCGACCTCTGAAGGGCTGAGTTTACTTCCCTGAACTTGTTTTCCACTTCTCGTCCGGTCGCCCAGACTCCTCTCCTGCTAATATCGCCTGACCAGGGTCGACGGCGTTTCTATGGAGAACGGATAACTGGGTTTCCGGCTTTTGCTTCTGAGGTAATATGTCCGAGCAGTAGTCGCCGTGGCTCCGTGGGAGCGGCCATTTTTGAATGCCCGACGTACAGACGGCAACGTGGACGCTTTTTCGCCAGTAACCAGGGGTAGATGCGACAGTGAGAGGCCGCCGAAATTGTCCCCTTTCCCAGAATGTCAGGTCTTGCGGAAAATGGTTACATTTTCAGAGGCTCGAGCTCACACAAGGCAAACATAACGTGGGGTAAATTCCTTTGAGCTGACTTGGCACAGAAATAAAGTGGTCACCTTCTAATCTTTGCAGGGTACGGTGAACTACAAAATAGCGTAAGGTAACGACCGGCAACGTTCAGCTCTGTCATATGTAAGATCACCAGGAGGCAGAGTCATCTCCATGGCAACTAACAACTTTCTTATCAGCGGCAATTACGACTGTGACATCTCAGTTCGGTGGGAAGAAATTGAAGTAATCTCTGGGCACCTCAGTTACTGTGCTAATTATGAAAAGCTTCAGAGGCCAGATTAAAATTTAAGCATGCTAGACAAAAATGTTGCCGTTGTAGCGGCGTAGTATTTTCGCCGTTAGGCTTGAGCGGCATGGGCGCGGCCATCTTAGAGGAAGTCCTATGTCCGTACAGCAGACTAAAAAGATCTCTGGGGAACTCAGTACCCTAGAGATAGAAGAGATTTTAGAAGACCAACAGGGTTTGGGAGAAGGGAGATGATATGGGAAATGCCGCGATCACAACGTGAACAGAAACAATCAACAGAAATTGGACGCTGTGAGCACTTTGCAGTCTCATCCCAACCACGCCCCTAACCCCGCCCGAGTACAAAAGACAACAAGTCCTAGACAGCAACTGATCCATTTTCTGTCACTATAAATTAGTTTGTATTTAATGAATTAAATTATGCTATATGTACTCTTTTTATCTGGTTTCTTTCAGATGTTGCTGCGTGCTGTGAAGTTGGTTCCAACTCATAGCGATCCCATGTACAATAGAACAAAACACTGGGTGGTCCTGCACCATTCTCACAGTCGTTGCTATATTTGAGCCCATTATTGCGGCCACTGTGTCAATCCATCTCATTGAGGGTGTTTTTCTTTTTCTCTGATCCTCTACTTTACCGGCATGATGTCCTTCTCCAGGGAATAGTCCCTCCTAATAACATGTCCAAAGTACGTGATGAGAGAGAGCATTCTGGCTGTACCTATTCGAAGACAGATTTGTTGGTTCTTCTGGCAGTCCATGGTATATAGCATGTTTCTTTCACATAGCGTGTTGTTATTATTGTTAGGTGCCAACCAGTCCATTTCCACTCAGAGCTACCCCATGCGACAAAGTAGAACTGCCCCATAGTGTTTTCTTGGCTGTAATCTTTACGGAAGCAGATTGCCAGGTCTTTTTCCCATGGAGCCGGTGGTAATTGCTTTGAAATTCATCCATATTGTGGCGTGTATCAATATTTCCATTCTTTCTGGTTGTTTTGTATTCCATTGTAGGAGCATACCATAATGTGTTTAATCACTTACCAGTTAATGTTTTGGTTTTTGGATATTGCAAATGGAAATCCTATTAACATTTGTGTACAAAAATAAATGACCTCAGAGAACTGGACTTCTCATAATCCTATGTATCTGCACCCTCTCACGAAGAAGTTTTTGGTAGCTATTTGCAAGCCCATTACCTATTTCTAGCTCTTCCCTAGCTCATATTCTCCTCTCCCCCAGTCCTAGAAGGTGCACTTACCCTAAGAAATCAGAAACCTAGAGGTAACAGATTGTGGCACCCTGGCCCCACCTTAACCTTCTTGCTTGCATTGTGTGCAACCTCTAGGCCATTATAATTCTCAGAATCCACCTAATAAAGCCTGTAAACCCAGGTCAAAGCAGGAGGTCAGCTCCATCTTCAAAAGTTATCTCAATTCCAACTAATTCTCACATCCTCCATCATTTCTACTCTGGTCCAATCTCTCACCTGAGGCACTGGAACTGCCCCGCTTACATCCTTGGCCTGTACTACCTGATCTCCATAGCACAAGCCAGGTGACACGTGTGATGTGATGGATCGCTTTTATATGGCCATTCTCGGCATGGTCTTGTAATTCCTACCAAATGACTGGGTGGGCCTATGCAAATGAGGTATTTGTGGCTCACTGCAATGCAGTGAATTACTTAGTATGGCCCTTCTAGCCATAAAACGCATTCCTGTCAATTCTGGCTCACAGTGACCCTATGGGACAGAGTAGAACTGCCCCATAGAGTTTCCAAGGAGCAGCTGGTGGATTCAAACTGCTGATCTTTTGGTTAGCAGCCTAGGCACTTAACCACTATGCCACCGGGGCTCCCTACAGACAATGCCACTTTGGAGATGCCAAGGACAAAGCCTTCTAGCCATAGTCTTTATAATTCCTACCAAAGGACTGGGTGGGACTATGCAAATGTGGTGCTTGTGGATCACCAAGGGGATTGGATAGCTTGCTAATAATGCAAATAAGGTTCATAGCACTCTTGGGCCAGGAACATGCAAATAAGTTGTATAGAACCCTAAGCTAACCAGGGCATTGGTCAGTATCGCCATCCTGCTAGGCTTCTAATGAGCCATCCCAGAGGCAGACAGGGAACTTCACAACCATCAAGAGATAAGAGCTGAGAGTGGAGCACATCCTTTGAACCCAAGGTCTCTGCACTGGGAGCCTCCTACACCCAGGAGACATATAGAGAGCTGTAACACTGTAGAGACGGTGCAAAGTGGCAGTAGATAAAAGGCAGCAGCAGAGGCAGCAGAACCAAGAGACCAGCAGGAGACAGGCAGGAGACGGTTCGGTGGGCTTCCCAGCCCACAGAGCAAGAAAGCTGAGCACCTTTGGGCAGGAGGTTTGCTGGTGGAGTAGGGTGCCAATGGGCATTTAATGGAGCTATGTTTGACAACCCACGGAGCTAGAGCTGAATGCCTTTGGGCTGAGGCTTACTGGTGGAGTGGGCTGAGGCTTACTGGTGGAGTGGGCTGACTCTGGGCACTTACTGGCAGAGCTAAAAGAGTTTGTAACACTTGCCTGAGCAGGCTAGAGAGACGCCTTCATGCAGGCACGGCTGAGAAGAGGCTGTCCTAATGGAACAACTATATCCTGAGCGTTCCTGAACCTGAATTGTAATCTGTTATTCCCTAATAAAACCCATAACTGTGAGTATGGTCTGTGAGTTCCGTGTGGGCATTGCAACAAATTATTGAACCCAGCAGAGGAGTACAGTGTCCCATGGAAGGGACAGCTGGTGTCAGAATTGGTAAAAATAATTTGAAGAGAGAAGGCATATCCGACCTCCACCTCATAGGAATCAACCTTGGGCTGTTGACGTTGATCTTGATTCTCCTTTCCCCTCGTGAAGTTAGAGAGGTCAGACATTGCTGCCATTCATTTTTACACTGGTAGATCACAATTCAGTCATGAAATTCACCTGTTCTCAATTATCTAATGTGGTAGGTTGAATCGTTTTTATGTGGCCTTTCTCACCATCGTCTTGCAATTCTTACCCTAGTGATTGGGTGGGACTGTGCAAATAAGATAATTGTGGCCCACCAAGGGTCAGTTTTGCCATCCCCTTAGGCTTAAAAGAGAGCCAATTCTAGAGCAGAGAGAGGATCTCACCATCCAAGGAAGAACAGCCAGGACCTGGGATCTGTGCACTGAGAACTCGTGGAACCAGGAGACAGACAGAGAGAGCTCTCGAGAAGTGCTGGCAGAGAAACCATGGCAAGAGATGGCAGGGGACTGCATGGTGGGCTTCCCAGCCCACACAGCGAGAAAGCTGAGTGCCTTTAGGCAGGAGGCTTGCTAGTGGAGTAGGGTGCCTCTAGGCACTTATCGGCATAGCTACAAGAGCTTCGTAACTCTTGCCAGAGCAGGGCAGAGACCAAGGGCCAGAGAAGCATACCTGTGAGCAAGGATGAGAAGAGCATATCCTGATGGTATCCTGAGCATTCCTGAACCTAAATTGTAACACGTTACTTCCCTAATAAACCTTATGAGTATGGTCTGTGAGTTTTGAGAGATCATTGCAATGAATTATCAAACCCAGCAGAGAAGTAGAGTGCCATGGGAGGGACGGTTGATGTCAGAATTGGTAAAGATCGGTGGACAGAGGAAGCATGTCTGACCTCCGCCTTATAGGAGTCAGCCTTGGGCTGTTGATCTCGATTCTCCTTCGCCCTTGTGAAGTTAGAGGTCAGCACCGCCCCTATGCCATTTTTACATCTAATGACAGCATTACAGAATAAAATCTCAGGTATTAGGATGGTCTACAAGAACCTAGATGATGTGGACCCTGTCTGTCTCTCATGTCCTACCACTTGCTGCCCCCCTTTCCCCATAAAAGCTACAGTGGTCTCCTTGCTATTCTTAGACTTTTGACAAGAATGTTCCTGCCTCAGAATATTTGTACTTGTTCCTACTTCCTGAGAATATTCATTTCCCACTGCGGTGGGATGGATTGCTTTTTGTGGCTTTTCTGGCCATGGTCTTGTAACTCCTACCCACGTGATAAGGCAGGACTGTGAGTAGAGACCTGGCAGCAGAAGATAGGGCAGTGGGCTTTCCCAGCCCACGGAGAAAGATGAGTGCCTTTGGGCAGAGGCCAGGGGCCAAGGAGAGGCGTGCCTGCAAGCACGGCTGGGAAGAGGCTGTCCTGATGGAATAACTGTATCCCGAGTGTTCCTGAGCCTGAATTGTAACTGTTACTTCCTTAATAAATCCCACAATCATGAGTATTGTCTGTGAGTTTTGTGTGGCCGTTGCAATGAATTGTCTAACCCAGCAGAGAAGTAGAGAGTGCCATGGGAGGGACGGCTAGTGTCAGAATTGGTAAAGATGGTGGAGAGAGGAGGCATGTCTGACCTCTGCCTTACAGGAAATAGCCTTGGGTTGTTGATCTTGATTCTCCTTCCCCCTTGTGAAGTTAGAGGAGGTCAGACACCTCTCCCATGCTGTTTTTATACCCATAAATATTCCTATGATTTAAACTCCCTCACATAATTCAGAGAATCTGTGTATCTCCTCAGACCAAAGAGTATGCCTATTACTCTATTATTTTACTTGACTTCCTTCTTACAAATTTAATGTGCATCAGAAACCACTTGTTATAAATGCAGTATTTGGGGCCCAACCTCAGACATTCTGGCTTAGCAGATGTGGGGAGTAACTGAAGAATTTGCTTTTTTTTTTTTTTTTTAAGCTTCTCAGAGACTCCTGAAACAAGGAGCCCATAGTCTACTTAGAAACAATCCTGTAATGTCCTTTCCTTAGAAATATTGTGCTGCCTGGTTCCCCTCAATTTAGGTCTTGACTCAACTGTCACCTCCCCAAAAAGGCCTCAGAAAACTTTAACTCAAATAGTTCCGCCATAATTATCTACGCACCTACTATGCTGTTTTTCTTAACATGAACTGCTACCTGATGTTCTATTATCTCTTTTACTGCCTGTCTCCAGGGGCGGATTATCCAATAGGCAAGGTAAGCACAATGCTTACCTTGCTTACCAGATTATCTGTAGTCAAAAATTTCACATTTTTCTACCACATCAAAGATTCTGCTTCTAGGTATGGCTGGCATCTGT